ATTACCTTCCTTTACCCAAGTCAGCACTTACAAGTAAAGGGCAGGGAAATCCTTCACCTAGAGTAATCAGCCACAGACGCAAGTTTCTCAAAGGGACCTGAAGATCTCCAGCATTCAGAAGTGAAGCCTCTTCTGTCTCCCATGGCAGCTTTGCCCTGCAGCTCTGCACTCCAGAGTAGAGCACACGTGAGCAAAAGCAAACAGCCCAATTCATTGTGTTACCACCCCCCAATCATAAAAAAACAACCAAAAACAACCACTTCTATTCAAAATCTACTCAAAGGAGACATAAAACTGAACATACTTTCCAAGGCTGAGGAGATACTGGTTATCTAAAAAAATATATCTTAAAGAAACTTTCTAAAGTTTTCAAAGTCTTTATCTACAAAATAAATAACTGCTTAGTTGCAACTAAATTAGCCTACATAGCAATGCACTAGGCAACGAAAGGGAGTGATTTGTTAAGTTATCCCTGTCCAGAAAAAAAAAAAAAAGGCTGTTGAACATATGCTTCACTTTAAACACAGATGGAATTAAGCATGTGCTTCAATTCTTTTCTGAGTCAGAACCAAAAATTGAAAACCATAGCTATGTAATACTTTGCCATGTTACAGTAGAATCAACTAAAACGTTGCCATCATATTCTTTCATATGATTTCAATATCCAGCTTGAGCAGGGGGTTTGGACAAGATAACCTCCAGAGATCCCTTCCAACTTCAGCCACTCTGTGATGCTGTGAATACTGTAGAGGTGAAAGCATGTTTCAGTTTTATATTTATTCATAATGTAAGCAACATACAGCATTGTCATTGTTTATGTAAATAGTCACAAAATTATCAAAAGGCAAATGTGTCATTTGGATCATTCATTTTTCTTTATTGAGCTTTGATGAAAAACAGTCCATTTGAAATATTTCCAGCAACCATTTCAATTCCAAATGCTCAACACAAAAACTTGGTATCAGAGTTCAAACATATAAAGTTACATCTCATTATAATTTAATATTTAACAAAGCTAATCATTTATGATTTTTCATAATTAAGTTTACAAAAATAATATTACATTTATAAAATAAATCAGCTTTTCCCAATAAATTACTGTGGTGTTCTTCTTATTCAAAAATGTAATATATCGTACAAAATAGATAACAACTTTTTGTCAGATAAAATACTAAAGTATATTTTTCATCCAGTACATTTTGGCAGTGTGTGAAAACATTTTATTGTACACTTGATATCTAAAGTACAGTGTGAAAACTAAACCCATTAAGCTATTATGCACATTGCTTATATAAGGCAAGGGTGGCCAGCTTGGGGACTACTTTTTATTTCCAGTTAAATGTTTTTAGTCAGACCAATATTGACGCGTTTATGCAACTGACTTAATTAGTCTGACCCAGCAAAGTCATGCAGCTCC